TTTCCCCTTCGCTTTTCCTCTATTTCTCTTTCTTTAGTAGAAAGGCTGCATCAAGAATCTACGATCTTATACTGCCGACCAGGGAATACCAGAAGTTTTTCCATTCGCCACAACGACAAAAGAAACGAAGTTGTGCGAGAAACACCCTTATTTGAGTCCGACAAGACGAGCAAATTTTGACGGATCCCATGAAAACTTGTCACGGATCAACAATCACGAATTTTCGAATATTTATTGAGGATATTGACTTTTTACTTAATTAAACTGTGAAATCTTTAATAATAAAAGAATAGATAAGAATGCATCATGAAAAAAAAATTACTTATTATTCTTTATATATAAATTAATGAATATGAATATATGATAATTAAAAGTCACGAGCATATAAAATAAAAAATATAATAATACGACTGTATATATGTGTTATTATAAAATCAAAATATTTGACTATGTTAATTAATATCTCTTGATTTATTATACTTATTTTCTTGTATCTATAAATACTTTTATCTCTAAAAGAAAAAGAATCGATTAAACTTGATACATAAATAATACATGGAAATGGTTATATTTATAAATTTATGAATAAGTTATATTTACACTTCGCGAAATAAAAATGCGACATAGAATATAATAGATAGAAATTTTTGATAAATAAAAGAGAGTTCTTATAAATATATAAAAGATTAATTTAACTTATTATCAAGAACAATAGCTATTTTTCCAGAATAATTCAATATGCTATCTAAATTAATTTGTTTTTCATAAAATATAAAAATATTGGCCATTATAAATAAAAGTCGACTAATTTAAAAAAATATTCCTAGGAAATGTCATGCGTCAAAAATACTCGCGGATATATTTAACACCTCAAATCGAGGTCAGTTCCACATCTCAGCAGTTACACTTTCAATTTATCGATCGTTATAAATTGTAAAGTATATTTTTTTATTGCTAAGTTTTTCAAATTCTTATATTTTGCAGTTTGCATCATTCAAGCAAGAATTGCACGCTTGATAAATATTAAATCTTAGCATAAAGAACAAGCCATCTAAATTTTTTCGCATCCAAAAATAATTCCAATTATAAATACCTGACAGATTTTGAACTTGATATGTATTTCAAGTGTAAATTATTTCACAATTAAAAGAAAAATGATCATTTTATCATCGCTTATCAAACTTATATTATTTTGCATATATATATCATAAATTTCGAACATGTAGAAAGTAAAAAGATCAGATTTTTCAAATTCTCATATCGAGTCCCAATCCTTTAATCTAACGTACAGCATGCATATTTTTAAATATATATGCTGATTCTCCACGTAGCTTTTCATCTTATAATATAAATAAATCTAAATTCTCTTTGAAGGAGAACAAATCAAAATTATTCTGCAAAATTACTCTCAGCCAAGCACGAAGCTTTTAAGCTCACGCTACATATAATAAAATAAGATTACGCGTGCTGGGATTAAGGATTAAAATTCGCGATAGTAATATCTTCTCTAAATAAGTAATATTTCGCGATGAATTTCGCGCTGTAACGCGCACCATCATGCCATTCCGCACAGTCCCATTGCTCTATTCAGGTCCGCCCGCTAAACTGACATTATTGCGCGTATAACGCGAGTGCTCGGCGTATTCGAATTTATTCGGTGTGCGAGCCGTCGACAGGCTCGTTCGTATGCATAGCCCGGCATGTTGATTGGCTGGCACGCAAAGTCGTGCTCTCACGCCGCCAAAGTCCGTCGTCCGTGACTACTCTGTGTCGCATCAGACGGATATTGCATACACACGCGCGTTGTATTAATATGTATTTAAATTAGTGCCTCAAAGCGATACGAAATTACGATGCTCGCTACCACTATAGACGGTGACAAATTGCATGCGCATTGCTTAGGCCACGCGTCTAATCTCCATCAGCTGATCCCCATCGCATCGTTTTGCAAAGTTTACTCGCGAGAATTTTACCACGAATTTTTATTTTTTTTTTCAATCGACGCGAGAGCAAAAATGAGAATGAAAGGAGTTAAACGTGTACGTTGAATGAATAAATAATAAGATATCTTCTGAATAATTTGATCGGAAAAACGATTTATAATCAGAAAATGATAACAATGCGCAAAACGCTTCGAGTACGCAAGTGATACATAATTATAACCGATACAAGCGTATACATATTTATTTATGTACCCGCGAGCATTCGAGGGATCAATGTAAAATGGAATCGGAAAATTACTCTGATATCAATTTTCTGCAATACAGAATTTTCTCGATACAGAAACAAAATATAATGACCTCAATTTTTGCAATTGCAAAAATTACTGGGTATAATGTGAAAATAAGAGGAAAAATATAAAACGTAGTTTCTCAAGACAAATCGGATATTAAAACTTTTAAGAAGAATGAAAACTCTTAAAAAAGAATAAAAGCAAACGCAATCCGCAACGACTGAAGGATTCTATATTAATTTTGTTTAAAAACGTTTAAGAGTTTTATAAAAAGTGCTGTATTATATAAAATAATTCCGCACTCCACTTGTGATTTATCGTTCAAAAATTATTAGTTTAGGTCGGAAAAAAATTACCATTAGTCATAATAAAAACATCAATATTTTAACCAGATACCGAGATAGAAATTAGAAAATAGCGTTGCAGAACATCCGAGACAACGAGATCGCTGCTCTTGACACATGAACACAAACGACCGCCCGAGGCGAAAACCTCAGAGTGATGTAACGAGTTACGCAACTTTATACAAAGGTAGCTGGGACGTAGTCGACAATAAAACCGTATTTCGATATAAGTAAAAATATTTTATTATATTTTATAGAAAGCATGAAAAGAGTCTCAATAACGTTACACTCGTTCGGTCGTATCGAGGAAGGAAATGACAGAAATGTTGCCGTATGCAGAAATCTCACGTGGCATTCGTGAGATTGATGTAACACCGAGCAATACGTCATACACTTGCAGAACAGCAGAAACCTCTTAATCGCGAAAAAATTGGAAATTAATAATTACGAAACGTCAACTATACACACGCACTGAATGAATGCTGCACGCCATTCAAGTGTAGTATTTTTTATTAATTACTAGGGACGCGGTTACCCTATTGTATACATAAATCAAAATTTTAAAAATTAATCTTTAAATTTATTTTCATCGCGAAAAAATGAGAAAAATTGGAAATTAATAATTACGTCAAATATATACACGTACCGAAGGAATGCGGTACGTCATTCTAGTATTTTTTATTAATTAATAATGCGGTTACCCTATTGTGTATATATAAATCAAAATTTTAACAATTAATTTTTTAATTTATTTTCATCGTTGTCCCTATTTTCTAACTTGTTCTTTGTTTACATGTATGTATATACAATATACATGAAAATACGAAGAAAAAAAATACCTGAAAATAACGGAAACAGTCTGTGACACTTCGCGAAGAACTTGCGCCGACCGGCAACGTTCCTGAAATTTATTACACAAGGGCGTTGTATTCTTAATTACAATATTACCAAGTTATATCAGTAGACGCGTAAATCCAATTTAACACGGATATTCCTCGTAGTTCTCGAGGAATCCAAGGCATTTCGCTATTCTGTGTTTCAGTCTGTCTCTTTTTTTTTCATCTCTCATAGTCTTTTATTTCATATCTTCAGTAGTTCTATTTCATTCCCTTATTTTTAGTCAGTCTCCCTTTCATCTCGCCTGACCAGGCGCGTTTTCTTCGGAATAAAGTAGATACTGTTGCATCAAATCGTTTAAAACTTGGAAAATAGCCGCTAAGGCAAAGCAAAGTTCATCCCATGGTGCTCTTTAATATATCTTATTAGAGAAAGTGAACAAAAGAGAAAGGGGAAAGGAGAGAGAGGGTGGAGCTTATTATTTAGCGATAATTACGAGCTTTTAAAATAAGATTCAAAGCTATCCTTAACTTCTCGTTGAACGAGCGAGAGACGACAACTCGGCGAGATATTATACGCTGAATGGAAGATTAATTAACGTTAATATAATGATTAAAAATGTGCAATGTGCATTAACCGCGAGAGCGTGCGATTTTTTTTTGAACGGTTATTCTATTCATTTTCTAAAACATCATCACATTGAATTAAAATTGATAACCTTACCCTGAGAATGCAGATAAAGTAAAATGTTAAACAGTACTTTATTTTTTATATTACAGTAAAATATTAAAAAACGAAAATTTATATTATATACATCTTGTGAAGCATTTTACCCTCTAAAAACCCGCACTTCTCTAATGAGACTTTGTTAATTAGATTGAGAAAAGTGCCACACTGCGATATGTAAAGCATAATTCGATTAAAACTTGCAGACGAAAATGTGAAATTTTCACGATTAACGATCGCGATAAACAGCCATTTAACAATCTGCAATAGAACCGTACGATTTCAGCAACAGATGCTGCCACGATTGTCTTCTGCTGTTCGTATGTAACAAACCTGTATAATTAATGTATGCACGCTATTTTGCGTTGTTACCCGAGTACTACGAATGATCGTTATGATCCTAATGACGGCGCAATCGCGCCTTATCGAACCGCAATAACGTTCGGTTATTATTCGTCGTTGGATTATACTACTGTAATCAAGTTCACCCTTGGCAGCAATTCAACGTATAATTGCTCCAAGTCAAAGCTTGTTATAAATCACAATAGAACCGCCGAAAATAATGCCAATTCTCCGCTGCACATACAAATTCGAATATTGCAATCGCGATATTCACGATCGAAACATAAATACGCAAATGGAACTCGTAATATTTGTCACTGTGTAAATAACGCGTAAACCGGGAAATTAAATTCATCGGAAGCGTAGAGATATATTCGATACATTTATGCCTTACGGCGGATTTAATCACATTATACCGTAACGTTGTTATATTATACTCTTGGGAGAGTTATACCTTGTGAAAAATGTCTCTCTTTAAATTCCAATATTTTAATACTTTTAAAATACACCCCACATACCTTGACACATTATTGTGATAATATGCAGTATACTGATGGTCAAGTATCGACTCCTTCTCTGTCGGTCTGCCATTTTTCCCTCGATGTCTCCTCTTCAAGTTCCAAAGATGATCTGTAAGAAGGAAAACGAGGTCGATCAGTCTCGCCAAAAGAGAAATGATGATCAGTTTTGTCAAATATTTCTCATGCCATCCCTTGATTAGTTTTTTTCAGTCAAAATGAAATGAAGCAAGATGGATGGTTAAAAGTATAGGATACGATTGTAAGTGATAAAACGTGTTTATCATTAATGACATAGTCCGCTACGATCATTGCCCGCTGTTGTCGACGAACAAACAGATCGCGCGGGGTTATTAGTGGTCCTCGGTAAATAATCCTATTCTATCATTAAAGGCACGATATAATAATCCAGCACATACATCCAGCACAATGCACGAAGTAGAGAACGTATGCGCCCGCCAATCTGACGTAATGTATACGTGACCAAATGCATATTGCAATATGCCGATTGGTCGGAAACGCACACAGTAGCGAAAGCATTAACGCATGGCTAAGTCGATGTGATACGAGGAATACGATAATTAATGAGTGTCCAATGTTAATCAGACTTATATTTGAAATATGTGTCGAGGAGGAGACGCAATTCAAGTTCGCATTCAGCGTCGATACGCTTCGATAATTGTTATCAATGACGAGTCTCGAGGCTCAAATCGGCTAAGGATGATTCGATGAATGAAACAAGCTAATTGCAATATTTATAATACAAACTGAGCAATACGTGGATACGAAGAATGTCATTGAAAATATGGATAAATGGGAACGCTGAGAGAGTAATAAAAAATTCTATTTATTTAATTCACATACGCCGATATCTATACTCTTTATTTGATATATGCTGACATATCCGAACGAGGGTGTATTCAATTTTAATATGAAATATTTACTTTTGTAATCTTGAATCAATCATGTAACGCAACACACGCATATTTCATATCTATCACTTCTTAACTGCGAATTTCTGCGTAATTTGGAAATTCAATTGGATTAATGCAAATTTTTCATTAACTAATAAACGTTGTTAAACATTCCCATGCGCTTCTTTCTAAAATATTAATATTATTATTTTTCGTACACTTTTTAATAGTGTTTAATTATAAATTATAAAGCGTAATACTTAAGAAAGACAGGAAGTAAATATATTTCGAATTTTTATATTTTTAGACTTGTGATAAATATTTATCACTATTTCTCTATTATTTATATACTCCTTCATACATATGTATGTAGATATCTGTCGAGATGAGCTAGATATTTCCTAGATAAAGCTTGCAGTGGAACGAAAGTTTTTGCAGGCCATTATACGGATATTTAAAGTGCAAAGAGCCTTCTAATATTACGCGCGTAATGCGCAATTCATAATGTTATCACGAGTTTTACTGGATATATAACAAGGATTTCCATAACGATGCTATGTTGATACTCGAGCCTGCGTCACCACAGCCCTGAGAATTTACTTCTACTATCGCGCTCGCTCCATAATTAGCAAACTCAGTTACGTAACACCGTTATATAACGTTCGCGTTCCTTTATCTATTTTTCTCGAAAACTTGCTCGTGACAGGCTCATGGAAAAATGTCGGGCACACATAGCTACGGGCAATTTTCGGTGTTGGTTGTTTATATTTATAGTAATATAAAACACAATGTAATTATTAATAATTAGACAATAATAAATACAATGTAAGGAGATTGTGTAAACATACATAGTAAAAATTGTGCGTCCATATGTTAAAATTTTCTTGCGTTACCACGTTTTGATTAGTATTTTAATGTAAAATTAACATACAACATATATATTATTATTTTTATAACGTTTTCATGTGTTACATTTATGTCAATTTTATAACTTGACACTTTGTATATGTCTCTTAGAAATGGAATATTATTTGAGCATTTTTAACATAATCATTTTAAACAATCAACATGTCTCAAAGTCAATTTAACATTCTAAGAAAAGTTTAAGTAAATCTTGAAATAATCTTGAACTTTGACATACAAAATAATCAAATTTACTAAAATCAAATGTTTCGATTACAAATAATTTAAGTTAAAATAATTACTATTATATGTTAATGTCCTCAACATTTCTTACGAGTTATTGCAATTATTTTTTCAGTAATTTTTAATTAATTTGTATGTAACATACGACGAATGAATTATTTTAACTTAAAATTTAGAGTGAATTTTCTGGGATGTGAAAAATGTCATTTTATTTTTTATGGTGTATAATAACTATTAGATATAATATGAATTTGTTTCAAAATATATAACGAAAACGTATATAATTAAAATATTATATTTGTTTTTAAAATTTTATTTGAAATCCACAATTTCATATCTCTAATAAAAATAATCGTGAAAGTTGATCCTGATTAAGTTGATATCATTCACAAAAAATATGTATGAAAAATTGCAGTTGTTAATTATTGACATCTTGATTATATGCAAATATGTAAGCGTGTCACGTAAGGAGTCACATAGTTCAGGTATCGTCGTGTTATGTCACGTCTATTCGGTGAAGACCGCAGTTAGTGCATGCTAAACTTTGAGGGCATACATAGCTATGTTTACGCTCGAGAAACGAGCATCCGAGAGACTGAACGACGAATAGTCATGAGATGCATACCAAAGTAGAAACAAAATTTTGACATTAATCCTTTAAGCGGTAATTTCTTTTTTAGCGAAAGCTCTTTCTCAAATAAAATTGAGTTAAAATTCTAGTCGGTATAATATTTTCCATCGCGTTTTATAGACTTTTTATATTATTAATTATATAAAACAATATAAAACTTGAATTGATATTTGCTCTTAGTTTAGGAAATTCGTAACATGACGTGTAAACATAAGAATTAAATAAGCAAGTCAAATACGCCGCATATTCAATATTGCAAAACTCAATGGAGGAATATTAAAATCCTACATTTAAATAAATTATTATGCAGATGAAAAAAAACAATTGCATATTAAATTAAATATTTTCAAATTCCATTATTGTCGTTTCAAAATGTTGATACAACAAATACGTTTAATTACATAAGCAAGCCTGGCTCTTAGTAAATTACTAATTAATACGACGTGACTCTTCCAACATTCTCTCGCATTCCACTTGACATCTCGCTTCCGGAAATCGATCCAATTACCAAGTGCTGTCATACGATTCGCGATTTTGCAATGGCGCCGTAACAATTATTATATCACTACCGTTTACAATTACTCCAGTTGATCTCTTTTAAAACGGCGCGCCGATAGTTTAATCCAATTGGCCCGTTAGTAGCGTAAGCCGGGATTCGACGCGTCGCGTCGCGTCGCGACCGCGACGCTCGAGATTTACGAGGCGATTTACAAATTGGCGGTTATTGTGCTCCGCTTCGGAACGAAACTGTCCCCTAAATCAAAACGTCTGCCGGCATTCATTAAACGTCAGGCAAATCCGGGAAATTGGCCGCTCGCGACGCTTCCGCCGTCACCGCGTCGTGCCACGACGTCGGTCGTTAAGCATTGCCTCTCCTCCTTTGCCTGGACCCTCTGTCGTGACGTTTCCACCTCCGTTTCCGTTATACGCGCTCGTGCAATCCCGGCGTGCAACGACGCCGCTCCAAATTTGTCGGATTTGTCGTCGATAAGCGTAAATTGGATAAACCGGTTTGTTTTCCCGAAACAACGCGCAACCGTGAGAAGTAAACACGCAATGTCGAAAACAGCTCGCGAGACGATAACGTCCACGCATGCCGATAAAATCAGCAGGCTATTTACTTAAATCACATCCCGTTTTAATCGCCGACCCTTTAGTTTTTCGCCCGGATTTCCGTTCCGACTAACAATCTAACAAGCTATTATGTAATACCTTGTATGATAGAAATTAAGACATAAATTTTACGATATCAAAAATCAAAATTAATGCATCGAATGCAGATAATGCTTTTATTTAATTATTGCAATTATTATAAATTTTTCTCCTTCAAAAAGATATCTTAACCAATCAAAATAAATTTTATTATTTTGAATAATAATAATAAATCAGAAAGACATAAAATTTTGTTTCCAAAAGAATGAGAATGAAATTTGTATGTTAAAAAATTAAAAACAATTATTAAAATAATAAACAATGTTACTAAAATATTTAATTTTTAATCCAATCCAATAAAATAATTAAATCCAAATTTTCAAATCTTTATAAATCTTTATAATCATATTCTTGCGATGTAAAAATATTCCATTCAAAAAATTCAAAAATTGCGTTCAAATTAATCTTATAAATACAAATTATTATAATTAAGATAATTAGAAAATTGTTGATATTTGTTTATTTATATTTTTGAATATGGATTTAATATTTAATATTAAAATATTATACCGATTGTTTTAACTAATTTTCTCGAAAACATACATTGATACAATTAATTGAAAGTAAAATCGAGATGCTATATGCTAATGATATTCACATAAATAACTTTTAATTGTAGTAATTAAGTTTCGATTATAATATATACGAGCAATACCGTTAATAATAACAACAACGAGCATCCGATGGTATCATAAATCATACTCTGGAGCTATACATTTATACATTTATACTGTAAACGTACGATGAAGAAAATACACACACAAATCAAAAATAAATTGTAATAACATATTATATAAAAGATATATTTTTGTAAAATTTATATAATAAGAAAAATGTTAAATATGAAAAATTAGAATATTTTATTACAATTTCTTTATCTTTCTCGACACGAATATTAGGCATTTAACACTTTAACATGGTTAAAGATTAATAACCTAGGTAACGAACATATATCACATACAGTAAACGTAAAAGCTGCCGAAAATATCGACACAATTGCCGTCATAAGTGGAGAAACAGCTCCGGTCGTAGTGAACCCGCAACGTTCAATACAGAACATCTTTATTTTCTTTACGACGGGCATTACTTTTATTATCCGCCGTCATAAAAGCACGGGTGAGAAAAACAGCTGGGGCAAAAAAAAACGTTACAACGACTTCTTGCTATATGATAGCCAATGTCCAACTTGATCCATACTCGTCCACCCAAGCGTCTTTTTTTGTCCACTTGGCGATTAGCGACAACGACGTAATCCAAGAAAAACAAAATGGACGGGATATCAAACTTTAATTTGCTATTTTGTCTTAGTAATAAAATAACAGCTTCTTGTAAATACAGAAAGATGATGTACACTTTTCCAACTCATTAGAAATTTTCGACATTATTTTTAAGTCTTTTAGGCATTAGAATTCTACGTTAGCGAACAATTAGCGAGCGTTAATGTTTTAGAAAAAGATTGTGTCCAGTTGTCAATTTATATTAAGCAGAAATCGCAAGAATCGAATCTAAATTCGTCCCAGAATATAAATTTACCCTATATATAGATAGATAAATAATTATTACTCGATAAAGTTTGGTTTCCGGTGATTTTTCAGACAAACAAAAAGCTGTCAAAACTCTTATACGTCCATATTGCATCGATATTTTTGTATACCCAATAACAAATAAAGAGTGCGGTATCGAATCGATTGAAAGTTTGCGAGGTGAGAAAAGTCTGGTCGTACAATGAACGTTTGTCAAGGACCGGCCAGCAATAAACGCTGTTGCAGAAAATAAACCCTCAAATAAAGTTTGAAAAATACCATCATTCATATGATAAATTTCGTTATTTTTGCACGATTTAAGTATGATATAATATATGAGATGTGGCAGATAATATCAATCGATAAATAAAATTTTGCACAATTTTGATAAGAATAATTTTAAATTAAAATATATCGCATTAATTTGTCACATAAGCCATAAAGCCATTATTTCTAAAAGAATACAATCTATAGCGATATATATACATATTTCTTTTCTCAATTAAAAATTAAAAATATTTAATAAAATAAGATTTTATTTATTTTACTTACATTAAACATTTTTACGCGAGTATATATAAAACGGTACGTTAAAATATTAATTAAATTTTCTTAGAGCTTGACAGACCCTATAAGGTATATATACAGTATCGAGCATAAAACTCCACGTAATACGTCATAAGCTCTTGCCGAGGAATTTAGAATTAATTATAATAGCTTGAATTTTAACGGTATCGAATATTGATGCATCCAGAAGAGAGCCTGAAGAAGTGTGTCACTCTGATATAATTTATTATAATAATTAAATTCCCCGTTACAGAGAGAAAATATATAATTGCGTGTATCCTTGATATTAATATCTCGTTGCGATTCCATTTCGCAGTCTCCCTCGTAGAAAATTTCAAAATAAATCGCAAACATATCGCGCAAAATGTGACAAAATACTGCGTAATTGCATTCCGGAAGTGAACGGGTTGAAAAGCAACTGGACGTGTTTCATGTCGCGGATAATGGCTGACATGCGATTCAAATCACGCTCTAACGCGTATAATCACGTATAATATCACGCATAATTATCATTATGTCGCGTGAAAAAAGTACATTTTTAAGATTAAGATTATTTTCTGTTATTTTATCATTTTTATATATTTTTTTAAAAGAGTTTATTGCTGGTTACTATTAATATTTAAGAAAAAAAATCAGAAGATAAAAGAAATGAGAGAGAGAGAGAGAGAGAAATATATCACAATTAAAAAGATTTTCTTTAAAATCATATTTACGATTTCTTTTTATAAACGTAAATCTTATAAGCGCAAGTCTTTATTTACACAATGTTACATTCATTGGGATGCAGCATTGTTAATTTCCATTAAGAAACATCTGGCTTCACCGCGGGATTGTATCTAACATCTTCTTCTCTACTTTCCCACAAAAATGATTGGTAACTCAGTCCTGCCTCGAACAATGTTCGCGGGGACAATCGCAGCTCTCAGCTCATTTATCTATTATTAAAAGTTTTTAACTACCGGCGTCGAGCGGCGGCAACAGACCGCGTTAAGATGGCGAGGGCGAGAAAGGCAGAAAAACGATAAGAAAAGCAGGGAGGGAGGTGAAAAAAATTAAAGAAGAAGATGAAATTCTTTTGCGGGAGTTTCTTCGGTACACAGCGAACGACCGTAAGAATGAGCTCATTCAGATCAGCATTTCTTAACGAGGAAAGTTGCGGTTACTAACGTTTGTGTACCACCGCGACAAACAGAATCTTGAGATTACAAAAACTCGACGATCGCAGGTGCGTTTTTATACAAGTCGGATGAATAGCACTGCATTATTCGTGACAATTTCAGGGTCAAAGAACGCGAAACTGCGACGATACACAGTAAAAAATTGTGCGTCCATATATTAAAATTTTCTTGCGTTACCACGTTTTGATTAATACTTTAATGTAAAATTAATGTACAATCTATATGTTATTATTTTTATAACGTTTTCATGTGTTACATTTATGTCATCTTTATAACTTGACACTTTGCATATGTCTCTTAGACATGGAATATTATTTTAAGTATGTATTAATATAATCATTTTAAATCAACATGTCTCAGAGTCAGTTTAACATTTTAAAAAAAGTTAACAAAAATAAATGTAAAATTGTGTCAATTATTTTAAACATACATGTTAAACATTTTTAATTTGTCGATAAGTAACATACGACGAATGAGTTGTTTTAACTTAAAAGAAAACTTTTAGAGGACTTTCTGGGACATGTGAAAAAATGTTATAATTAACATTTTATTTTTTACTGTGTACGTATCAATGACAGCGTGCGCTTATGTTGGAGCAACATTTCTTCGGCTTGCGATTATTTCTCCGCACAGCGAGGAAATATGTAAATATCATTTATGCACGGTAAAAATTATGATAACAAGCGTACTCTGATAAAAAACTAAAAAATTGTGTATTTATTTTGGAACGGTCTTGCTTTATGCTTACGATCAATCTCTGCTACAAAATATGCGCATCGTTTACACGGTCCCCGATGCGAACAATAAAGAATATTTTTTTATAAAACAAAAGAAATATATGAATATATTATTTGATCGACAATACATATATCTTTGTAACTGTAAGAGCTCTTTGATTTGAAGTATACTCGGGGGAATCGTTTGAAGTCATCGACGAGGAGTTAGAGAACTATCAAGAGGAAAAGAGAAAGACAAAAAATGAAGTGAAAAGATTGGCACTGTTACGTAAACATTCTCAAAGCTGAAGGATGTTGGACAACAATCTGTCGGATTCGATATATTTGATTTTAATATTCGAGCCTCGATATAATCTGTTTCTAATAATATCATAGAAACGATATATTTTGTAACGAAATCACAATAATAATTTTCTAAATAAATAATAAAACTTAATACATAATATAATAATAAATACATAAATAGCATTGTATATGTATAATAAATAATATTACAAATATATAACAGGTACATAAATTTTATTAATATATTATCGGCGAGAATAAAAATATCGTGCATTATTTATACGTGACATTTCTAAACCAAACACGCAAATGTCAGCGATAAACAAAGTCGGAAGGTAATAATCGAGCGAGCGGAACGGAATTCAAGCAACGACAATATAATGTGCATAACGCTCGGCTAGATTTAATAAATAGGCACTTTCGAATTACACGATCAGATTGGTCTATAACTCTTTTCCCGGTCGCGGCTCCGAATCGCCGAGATACGTTATACACCCTCGCACACCCCCCACAAGAGATAATACGTACTTTTTCACGAGAGTCCGTGGATTTCCCGGGACATATCGTCGATGATCTTCGCACCACCTCCGACCGAGCCGCAACTATCGATGAGTCGATGGTGCTACCAGCGCGATGCGTCCGGATGTCCATGAAACATTTGTCTCACTGCACTTTCGCGACGGTCCTCGGTCGTCGAATTACAAAATCGCGCAGAAAATCACCGTTGTTTCCACCGTGTCGGAATGGATTGCCGCTGAAGCACTCGTGCGTTTATTTTGCCCTCTGGTATTTTTCAATTATACTTGACGACGGGTTTTTCGGACAGAATGAGTTATTAGCACCAATTGCATTGACCGCGTATTTTTTTTTTTTATAGATACTTGATGAAAACGGCTTAATACACGTTCATTCACTTCATTCGAGGAATCTATACTTTCATTTTTTAAGAGAATTTAAAAGCGGTTTTTAAAATTTACATTTCCTCAAATCTCTACCGTCAGATCTGACTTATAAATAGACGAACAAGAATTAAATTCTCCTTCTATTTGTAAGTCAAGCTGTTCTCGAAAGGAAAGGATATTAAATCAGGTGCTTTTAATCTAATCGGAAATACGTCATGAAAAAATTCATGCAGCAAATGATAGAGCTCTGTCTGCAATCATTTTAAAATTTTGATACATCACTCTTACGAAAAATAATTTGATCACCCTTAGGAAAAAAAATTGCCTAGTATACTTCATATTTTTTGAATATTTCCATCATAGAAAATATTAAAATTTTCTCTAGGTAAGAAGTAGAAGATATCGCGAGTTCTACTCTTTATATCAAAGATTTATCGGCGTAATCGTGCGTACGGTATACGTCGCTGACAATACGATTATTCGCGGCTTCTGATCGACGATGTACGATCGATTCGGAAATATTATATTTCCGGGACAAGCGGTCGCCGAGCAAACGATCGTCAATGTACGTCATAAATCTATCGAACGATATGCACGCCGTCAAACAGAGATTTCGTACGAATTCATGCTCGAGCCGAACGATGTCGAGACGTTAATCAATTGCGAAAGAGAGAAGGCGTATTTTTCAGAAAAATTACGTGTTTTTATAGAGCCTTGTTATCGCGAAAAGATACAACAGTTTAAAATTTGTCTGTCATTTTTCTATCTTGCATAAAAAATCAAACGATCGTGAAATCGACCGAATCAAACGTTTATCAAATTGTTGAAATCGTTCATTAATCGTTGAAATTACCAGAGATTGAATAAATTATTTTGAAAATATAAATCTGGAAATTATTCAAGTAGAAACAAAGATTGTTTTTTATTCTTCCTTTAGAATATAACTATTATTTTTTTAAAATATATTCACGTAACAACATCATATCGTTAGATAAACTCATTTGATAGATGATAGATTTTAATAACGCGTATTGTATAACAAATATTTTAAATTCTTCAAATAACAGACTTATGTTATTTTCAAAACAAATGGCTCAATTTTCCTGCTGCTTCATACATGAAAACACGTTGAAAAAGATTAACAAACATGTAATTTTCCGGATAGATATCAATCCTCGCAAAAGAACAACAACACGAAAAATCTCAATAGCAGCAGAAAATAGTAGCTACAACATCACTAATGAGACATTAGCATGTCGTGAATTGAAAACGCGACGATCAAGGATATAAATCCATAGTCCAGCGTCGAACATCTGTGGAGGAAACTTGGAAATCACGTGACCCGTCAATTCCTTCGTCAGGGCTTCAAAGTCCTCCAATCTTCCTTGTACATAGCGCCCATAGGCGCGTAACACGAGAACGTACCCGGATCAGTAAACCGATTCCGAACTTCTCTCTCGAAATGACGACCGGAGAACAAGAAGCGAAAGAAAAACTTGGTTTCCGTGCAACTTCCCAAGCGATCACGCGCGAACTTGAGGGAAGCCCTTTGTATCGGATCCTCCTCGATCTCGCGCAAGAGAAATCGAAAACCGCGCACCTGCGAAACTATGTGGATACGAGGAACAGAACTTGATCTCGATGCACCCACTCGACTGTCGAAAGTTCGCCGAGCCGAGTTCGCTTGGCGTTTGGTCGGTACAAAGGACGCGTTCAAGGGCAACGTCGACCAACCCCCGACACGACACAGCCGCGACACACCGGACTTTAGCACGACGGCATCCCGAAAGCCCCTTCGACCACGTCGCGGCTACTGCTGCTGAGTGCTGGCTGATGGTGCTGGCTGGTGGTGCCGGTGCTACTGCTCGGTACCGCGTATATACTGCACGATGAACACGGACACGCGCGCTCGACCCCTGCGCGAGCGCAATGCCGCCGACGATTCCGGCAGTAGGGGGTTGTTTGATGCCTGCCTCCTTCGGAAGATACTTTTGCCGGTGACTCGACGTCTCGTCTATGCGCGCCAAGGCGCGTGACAATTGCTGCCGGTCTAGCTTGTAACCTGCATTGTCACTTGATGCAATTGTGCCAAAGAAAGAGACAGAGAGAGAGAGAGAGAGAGAGAGAGAGAGAGAGAGAGAGAGAGAGAGAGAGATTTGAATATATGTATATATTTATATTTGACTATAAAGAATACACTAGGGGATATTATATTTGAAAAATAGCTTGATAAAATTGTAATATTTAGAAATTATGTTATTAGGCTTAAAATATCTTTTATTTTACTTATTTATTTGTATCTCCTAAGCAATAGTAGTCCTAAGTATTTTAAGGAAGATAGAAGAAAAGAAGAAAAAATATGTCATAGTTAATTAAGTGATTTACAAGGGAACCTCGCCAATCCAGAAATTCTGATTTTAATGAAATTTTACACATATGTAGAAAGGATAAATTTTTAGAAATTTATAGATGAATTTAGAAATTTTCAGTTGTGCTGTCCAAAAACAATTTTAAGAAATGAAACCATCTCTCGATATATTTCAAAAAATTGAAGTTTGAAATTCGATATATTTCAAAAATTTGAAATATCGATATACCTAAAAAAATTTGAAATATCGAAAAATATTTTATATCAAAGTTTCATTATTTCTATTTAACTATATTAATAAAATTTTGGACAAATAATTTTTTTCACAAATTTTTTCAAAAATTATTTTTGAATGTTTTAACCATGAAATTTTTGTATAAAACATTTTTCGACATCTTAAATAATTTTCGAGATATCGAGAAAACCAAAAAATCATTCTACATATGAGGTATGAGGGGTACTTTGCACTTTAAAGTCGCTTTTGGGCAGCAACTGAAAATGTCTAAATTCATTTATTTACCCTCCCCCTACATGTGTAAAAAGTTTTATCAACATCAGAATTTCTCACAAGATTCTTTTGTTAGCTTTAATATTTCAAAAACAAGAATTTTATAATCATTTGTCCACCATTATTAATCTCCTATACATATATCTATTTGTATATCCTAAGTAATATAAGTGTCCCAAACAGGAAACTTGTTAAGTAACAATTGAAAATCAATATGAAAAATATAAATAAAATAACATAATAATAATCAATTGATAGCTAAAAAAAGAAAAATATAAATCTCTTAAATCTTGAATATCTAAGCGATAAAAAATGCGTTTTATGATTATTTTCTTAAATATTAAAATTGTTTTAATACATTACTTCTACTATAATGCAAAATTATTTTTGTAAAAACAAAGAGAAATCAAACAAAAATTGACGATTAATAAGAATTCGGTGAAAAAGAAATAATCTAGTTATTGATATAGTCGTATTATATCGATATATATATATATATATATATATATATATATATATATATATATATTATAGTCAATTAGAATTTTAATAAAAAAATCAATGCTCTCTTACTAAATGTCTCGAATTTCTGCTACATATAATATATCAAAACAATTCTCAACGATATTTAATAACATACATAGTCAAAAGAGAAATAAAAAATCAATCTTTTATTAAATATTTTACTTTATTATGCATGAAGGGGAGAGAGAGAAAGAGAGAGAGAGAGAGGTAAAAATATTTCATGGTTAATTAAATGATTTAATGATCATTTAAAAAGTGAAGATTTCACAATCATATATATTATTAATTTCTTGTATCATTTTTTTAACAGTGACAACCTTTTTAATCTCGATTACGAAAAAGATTTGATAAAGAATATAACATAGAATAAGTCCTTCAGAATATTAATCTTAATAAAAAAATTCTTATTTTATCCCACATATGTACATATCAGTGAATAATCAGTCAGGTCGTTAATTATCACAGTTGTGAGATAATTGCGATAAATTTATTTAATAAAAAATAATGAGACCTTTTATTTCAAAATTCTATCAAGAGTGAAAACAGAATTGTAAAATATCTGTGTTATAAAATGTGTATAAATGTCGTATAAATTAAAAAGGATATATATGTTCCTGCTGTCAGACAAAAATATTATCCTCCGACTTCAGAAAACTCATCATCCCCTAGTAACTCATCATTTTCCCGTGGGCGTTAAATAAATAGGAATACGAAAAGCGAAGGTGAAGCCGCTCAAGGCAAAAGCACCATGACGACGAGTATCAGCAAAGAACAACGGGGAAGAATTTTGAGAAACGGAAACATCTGAGACGAGAGAGATAGAGCTAGTAACGGCAAGTTGTTCACCGCGTCTAAAACCAACGAGATCAAACGCATTCACGCAGCCCGGATTCGTTTGACGTCCACCGTCTGGAAAACGGGGGTGGCTGCCGCGGAATCCGCGTCTTGACATCCCCTCGGTTCGATGCCGGGTTGCTGCAATATCTTTCCCGAGCACGTAACCGAACATATGGGATAACGGAGGCTGTGCAACATTGTTGAACGCACGCTCAGTTTACGCGCATCCATGTCGATATCTATCCTCCCCCATCCCGGATCGAGCGTTAGTCAGTCGTGAGGAATTCTTTGATACTTACCTACCTACCTCCCGGGGAAACATTTCACCAGCCATCGTTCGCGAGATTCCGCGAGTTACCTCCGGGACTTTACATGTGTGTGTTATACTAGGTATAACTAGCGTGCTAAAACGTGCGTTCATCGCATCCGACGGTCTTTACCGTAAGTGGATCCATGATAAACACGCGTATTTATTACAATCCGACTGTAACAATGGAACTGGAATTACTGTTATTTATACAATGAAAGAAAAGTAAAATAACATAAATAAATAATTACTTGTATTACTTCGTAATCGGAGCAATTTTATCGCCATGAAATCATAAGACTCGATATTTACAAGAAACCAAATTAATAAAAAAATTCAATTATTTATCTCCCTAAAAGTCGAGTTAAAAAATAAAAATTGAATGATGATAAATTTTTATTCGCAAATTTATATGAATATTAACATGTTTTCAATCATCTGGCAACATGTTGAACGCGTAGATTAGCTCGAAACGTTTCCTGAATGCGCAATTCCGGTCGGAAGAGATATATTGTATGTAAGAAGGAACGGAATTACGTGTAAATTCCAAGAAGCAACGATTATCGTCCAGGGTTGAAAGCGAGTCGCGATCGAAGACGATTGTCGCCGGCAGCTCTGACTTCTCGTATACGAAATGTGCGGGTCTTTCACGACGGTCAGTGGCACTCTATTTACTCGGGATTCCCCTCAACGGCGCTATACTCGGGAAAAGGAATTTGTGTCGTACCCGCAGAATGACTCGACACGTAGCAACCGTTCCGTATACGATGGTGGATTTATTCGCCGCACACAAGGGATCTTCCTCGCGCGAAAAGTTTAGGTGAACGCACGCAATAAAGCGGATCTACCCACAAATTGAACCTAAATTCGGCAAAATGTTTCTTTTCTCTCTTTCTCTCTCTCTTTCTTGCGGTTATGAATATAAGAATTTAAGTTTATAAATGTCTTGTTAGATTTTTTCACATCTGTAAAATTTATTTTTGGTGCCCGCTCATTTTTAATTTTTTATAATTTTTTTATATCATTTATTGTGTTTTATTTTGTATTTTTTTATATAATTTATTGTGTTTTATTTTGTATTTTTATTTTTTGTTATTTTTATTTTTATTTTCGTTATTTTTAATTAATTATATTTGTTCGAGTATAAATATCGTGTAACATCATTCTTTTGAGGGATAGTGTCGCGTAGAATGTTAAATACTATTTTTATACCTCTTATTCAATCGAAATAAGAAGTTGAAACAGAGAGGGTACGCGACTAATTGTGAAAATATTTGGACATCGGAGCGAATTACGAAGAAGTGACGATCTTCCTTTGATCGACGACAGTTTCGCGAGCGAAACGGATTCTATCTCGTCAAATAATACCGTCCGATGTTGTTAAATCCGCTCGACTTTATCGGGCGGTAAATTCCCCAGCGTGACAGATTTCTTAAAATATTTTCAATATCGTCGGAGCGCGCATAATGCCGCCTCTCAAGCGCCTCCAGGACACCCCGTCACGTAAAGTTGAATTTTCCGAGGATCGACACCCCGGCGATCGAGTCGGTTCGCTCGCTCCAACGGACTCTCGATAATGTATCTATCTCGCGTCAAAACGGTTCCCGCGAGACCTTCGAGCGACGATGCCTTTGTATACAGATACCGCGTGACAAATTGAAAGTGTAGTCGCACTTAGCCCGATATATTCCAGCGACGAAAGTTGTGAGCGTTGAGAAGATTCGCGAGAAAATTCGCAACTTTAATTGAAAGATGGGGGTTCTACTCGCGCCCCGGTGGATGCGCAAAAGGAAAAACGCGAGGGCTTCTTTTTTCCAAACTGCGTTTCAACTCTTTAAAAGGAGTTAACTATTCATCCGGAATAATACGATAACTTCGCTTAAGGAGAAGCTAACGCGAACTCCGCTTCCCTTAGGCGGAGAAAAAGCGCGACCCCTAAGACTCCAAGTGCGAAGGGATTGTATTTAAAGACGACGAAATGACAAATGAATTTCTGCCCTTCGCAACGGCTCGCTTTCTCGCAAGACCTTAAAACGGTGGTGAATTCGGTTGCGTTGGCTGGCCTAACTGATTGCAATTATTTCCTTACAAAGCAAATTGCCTGTCACGAAATCGTGTTAGTGGAACTTACTACGTTGAATCGCATCAGGTATGCTGGGAGCACTTCGAGACGCCTCTCTCGAAATGCCACGTGCACACCTGTCTCTCTGTCTATGTTCGCAATGCTAGGTAATACCAATTTGTGACACGTAATCCTTGGCTGCTGTGCGTATCGCCTGCATATATACACGCTTACAGGCATAA